GAAGAACGTCCGTGACCATCGTGCGACCAAAATTGTGCCGCAAGCTCCTGAAGCATAGAACGTCTCGCCACGAAGATGGCCCCCTGGTCGCGCTGGTGCTCAACATCCCGATAGTCATGTCCATGGCCGCAAGTGTTCCACCCGGGGAGCTTAATCGTGCTCATGATCTTGGTGACCTGACCAGCTGGAAGTTGATTCTGTCCGGCCTTCACGCCCAGCCTGCACCATCGCATAGACTGCGTTCCAATCTCGGTACCACTGTCCAGCCTCATGAGCCCGCTAGACTCCCACATAAGATGTCTTACACTTCCTCCTAGGATAACACCGCGCGAAAGTTCCAGAGCCTCCATCGTGAGCTGCGCCAGATTCCATGCCCTTCGTCGTTCTCGAGTGCAAACAGCTGCAGCAGGTGCCCCAGATAACGCACTCCGCAACAGATCAGGCTTCGAGTTGGACGCGTCCGACACTCCTCGCTCCAATCTACTAAGGCTCAGCAAGCTTCTCGTATCAAAGTGTGTAATCTGCACGTGCCGTCGCGAACCTCGGCCGCACTCGAGTAGAGCTCGCTGACGAATAGAACCAATGTCGCCCATGAACCATGCTCTGAAAATTAGACGCCCATGTCCTTGTTCGCTCGCCGCGGCAACTGCTTGCCCCAGAAGCACACCGCGAGGGCGCCGAGGATCAGGCCCCACAGGAGGAGGTCGACGCTCAACGTGCCCAGGGCCGTCAGCTTTGCAATCCGCATCAAAAACTTCAGGTGCATGATTATCAGAATCTGAATTAAGGTGATTCTTGTGTGAGGCCCTACCGGGATCAGCATGTCCGAGCACTTCGCCGCGCGCGATCTGCTGGTCTCGCAAGGCCGCAGTCGGAGGTTCCACTTGAGGCTGCCCCAACAATGCCGTCGACGACGACGCGGCACTACCAGCATCTGCCTGTCCACTGAGGATCCGCCCCCCATCATTGACTGCAGGTGTAGAAGAGGTTGAGCGTCGCAGTGGGCGACGCCGCTCCTCCCCCACTGCTGCCAGCCAGCCGTTGAAACTCGCTGACTGGCAACATTAAGCGCCCACTCTCCGAGCCCTCCAAGTCGCGCGCCCTCGCGCCCGGGGGCAGCTGAATCACGGCGTCGCCCGGGCCCAGGAAGTGAATGCGATTGTTGGCGATGTCGAGCATCGCGCGCAAATGCCTCAACGATCGTAGACCGAGAAGTGCGGGAATATCAGAATCTGGTACGATAGGTGCAGCGCGCACAGCGGGAGCGCCAGCCAACTCGCGCTCCTGCGCGGCCTTCCGCCGCCCGCGCCCTCGACGTTCAACGCCTCGCGCGTGGGACAATACTGAATGGAAACACCTGCTTCGCTGGCCAGCTGTTCCTGTCGCGCGGCCCACTGGGGCCCGGCGAGGTTGTCATGGGCCCGCGGGTCCACCAGCAAGCCTTCCCTCTTGGGTCCAAGCCTCGTTCGGGTATGCCACGCGCCACGCTTCTCGCGCGCCTCCTTGATGCCGCGCTGCTCGTAGGTCGGGAAATAGATCTGAGATGCCCGCTGCGCCGCTGTGCCCGAGCCCGAGGCCGTCTGAGCCGAGGCTGCTGCACAAGAGCCCATAGATGACATGCCCGCGGCCGAGGACGTAGGAGCTCCAAGAGACAGAATAGAAATAAGATCGCATACAGCCCGATCACTCGTACGCTGGTGGGTCCGATGTCGGACAGCACCGTGATCATGCCCATCGCGGCCTCGATAATCGTCGTGGCAATTGTGCTTGCCTTTGCCATTCTTACCTTTTCCTCGTCCGCACCGTGGATGATCACGCCCCTCGTCATCTCCACGTCCGCGATGTGCCTGACGACCTCCTCTTCCTGCCGACGCGGGCCTGCCCATGCCGTCGAACTGACTTATTGGCGACGAACGTGGCACAGATCCTGCAGAGCCGCCATCATCGCCACCTGCCCAATCCACAGGCCTTGCCCTCACCGACGTCCGACTCGCGCTCGTCGTGCCAACGAACGAGTTCCAGGGGTTATCTTCTTCATGCACCGATACCACCGACCAGCGATGATTGTCAACCTGCTCTCGGTCGCCCTGCGCGCGGCCGGTCATGGACACGCCTGCTGACATCGCCCCTGAAGGTAGCTGCGCACCAGCCAACAGCCCAGGCTGCGTAGTATACATGGATCCCACATAAGACTGCTGATGCGCCTGAACTCCGGCTGCAGGTACATGGGCATGATGATGTCCGGCAGCTCGCGGGCAATATTTGATAAGATGCTCATCCGATTCAGATCTGTGACAGCGCATCGTTTGTCCATTAGGGCCTCTAGGGTTAGTCCGACGTTTGCCACCTATTTTGCCGTGAAGCCCGGCATAGTGAGGAACAGGATGTGGCGGTACAGCTGGCTGTTCCTCGTAGTAGTTGCGATTCAAGAGCTTGCCGGATTAGCCCCCGCGAATATGTTGCCATTGCCTTGATCGCCTCATCCTGAATGGTGAGCACCACGTCCTTTTCCATAGCTCCTACGATGCTGTCGTCGATCACGTCTGGTATATTTCCTCGCGAACGTCCTCCAGCGCCGCCTTGTGACCAGGAGGTCTTGCCATAGAGTTCTCTGCGCGCATCGAGGGGTCCACGTTGCTGCGGTGGGCGTCAAGTTCTGCCTGAGGGTTCTCATCGCCGCTGGTGCCACTGCTGCTCCAATCTTCGCAATCGGCCAAGAACGTCTCACCAACCGAACTTGGCTGAATCTGGTATTGCGCGGGATAGAGGGGCTGCTGCTGCATAGTCGGGAACGCCGTAACCGGTGTACTTCCTAGGGTCAGCGCGCCACTCTGCCAGGGATCCGTCACCCCCCAGGGGTCAGGAAGAGAGCTAGCACCAGCCATCGTCGGGAAGTAGAAGTTGCCTTGGCCACGCTGCATCTGCGGCTGAGCTCCCATCATGCCGTGTCCTTGTCCGCTCATTGTTGCTGCGGTAGCTATGCCGCCATGCTGATGTACGTGTCCAACTCTCCTGATCAGTCCAATCAACTCGTTGAACTGTGCATCCGTCTCAGGCAGGTTGCCTCGGAAGCCGAGCAGCAGATTCACCCATTCAGCTGGTGGTATGCGGAAGCCTGTTAAGAGGAGCCACGCGAAGCTACCTGGTTCCATCCAAGTTGCCGCCAGCACCTGCTCGAAACCTCAGACACGCAAATCTTCCAAGTGTAGTGTCGATGTCCTCGCCCGGCGTCCTTCGGAAACTCATGAGCTCAGCAATCGATGATGCCGACGCCTCCACATCCAATGGAGCGAACTGTCTGTGTAGCCCACGAAGTAGAATGGCCAGCCCTGTGACCTGTCGCACACCGAGCACGTCGCCGAGATCTCTCATGCCTCCGTCGCGCACAGTGGCCGGATCCAATTCGCCAGCCAGCTCTCGCGCCACCCCACCAAGTCTAAGAATCACTGCTGCACCTTGTGCCTGGTCCGGCAGCTGGCACGCCAGGGCCCACCACACAACATTCCGAGACCAATGCTTGAAAGGGTAAAACCTCTGCCGCCTGCTGTCCGACGCCGGCGGAACCTGCATCGTGCACACGATATTCACTTGGTCCGCCGCGCTGCCGAATCCTGCAGCCTGAGCATTATTCACATTCATATGTGGCATCATGATGCAGTCGTGGTCTCAGAAGCCGTGGTGATACTTGAAGTCGTAGTCGAAGTGGACGCAGTCGAAGATGTCGCCGTGGATCGCGCCGCCTGGAGGGCGGCGAGGGGAGCCGAAGCTCCGCTACCAAGGTCGAATGGCCCTGGCGAGATGGAAGATATGGGAGAAAGGGGCGATTATCAGAACATGCAAAGAACGAAACTCCTGGACGCGTCCTTGAATGAAACGTTTACTGGCGGCGGGCGTGCTGTACACACACATGCGAACATACATATACGTGACATATCTCCTACACTGCGACTGGAAAAAGGAGGAGGAGGAGGTGGAGGAAGAGGAGAAGGTGGACAAAGGAAAAAGGAAAAAAGGAGGAGGAGGAGGACGAGTCCTCCTCCTGCCTCCCTCCCCCCTTCACGGTGCAAGGGGGCCCCTGGGGAGGTCTGACGCCGGTCGTGACCCCCTGTCTTCATTTTCCGCTTGAACTAGTTTGATCCCCGACCTGTCTGCGACAACGGCCGCTGGGGGGTGGCAGCATTCCCAGGGAATTCAGACGCCGTCAGTGCCCAATGCCCAGGGGGAGCTCACCCTGCAGAGTGTGAGGCTGGGGAATTGGCAGACCCGACCCAATGCCCAGACTTCAGGCGTAAGTCCTCTGTCAGTTCTCACAATACCATGGATTACAACCAACATAGCATCCTACAAGTGCGCGCACACTGTAGGAACACTCGCCCTGAAGCTACAATGTGCTTGCCCTGCAGCGGCCCAGGATCACCAAGTGAACCCAGTCTGCTTTCGCGAAGGTGATCCAAGTGCTGGTTTGCTGCCTACAAGCGCGCATGGGCGCATGGCGGGCGACCACTCACACGGTCGAAGGAAACCTCCAGAGTGAGGGGGTGCCCACCCGTAGGCTTGCGGAGGATGGCACGGCCTTGGCATCCGCGCGAATCAGTCACAAGGTCGCTCTTGAGCTCCGCGACACGGAGTTGTATGGCGTCGCTGCATGGAAAAGTCCATGAGCTTGGGAGTCGACCAACTCTGGCTGATGATGCCGGTCTGGGCTGAAACCGAAGCGACACGCGTCACTGCCATCTTCAGCTTCTGGAGAGCCCGTCCGCGAGGGATGCTTTCGTCACGTGCTGGGCCACCTTGTGGGTGAAGTCGATCTTCTTTACCCTGCCCACGTCATGGCGAGGAGGAGGCAGGAGGCAGGAGGCAGGAGGAGGAAGGTCAGGGTGGAGGTGGAGGAGCAGGAGGGTGTGAGGTGGGAAGCGCCCCCCCCCCCCCCCGTCGCAGGCCTGCCGTAGGCAAGCGGCAGCGGCTGGGGCTGAGCGCGTGTCGGCCGCTGGGGGGCGGGCGATGCAGCTTCGCTCGTAGGGCGAGAAGATGTGCGGGTCATCGGGCCGGAAGAACCACGCGAGCACCTTCGGGATGCCGCCGCCGCCGTTCCTGCCTCCCGCCTCCCGCCTCCTGCCTGCTTTTCCTCCTCCCCTCCTCCTCCTGCTCCTCCTCCCCGCTCCTCCTCCTCCTCCTCCTCCTCCTCCTCCTCCTCCTCATCATCCCCGCTCCTCCTCCTCCTCCTCCTCCTCCTCCTCCTCCTCCTCCTCCTCCCGCCTTCCGCCTCCTGCCTGCTCCGCCTCCTCCCTGCTCATCCTCCTCCTCCTCCTCCTCCTCCTCCTCGATCCCTCCCTTCCTCCCACCCTCCCTCCACAATTATTCAATCTGAATACTACTCACATCTCTCCCCTGATGGCGTCCGGAAGATGTTCGGCCCGCCTCCGCGTACTGTATTTTACACACCGGATTCCCGGGAGTTGGGTTTTCGCTATGGTTATGACCCAGCGTCCTTATACAGAATCCAACCTGCCATTTTGAACAAAGTACTCTGCAAGCCGTCTGCGGTATACTCCGAGGTGTTCCACAATGTACTCTGCGGGAAACTCTGCGCGAAAGTTCTCCAGAGAATGTCCTCTGCATTTGTTTGTCTCCCTCGCTAGATGTTGGTCTGACCTTCGCACTATATGACGGTACCAACGCCGTCGCCACGGTAATCAACACAAGGGAGGAAGCGGAGTAGGTAAGGGCACATGGAGGATTGGAAGAGTGCTGCTCAGATGAGGGGGTCCGCTGTCGTTGATGTTGCTGCCCCTGCCGCCGAGCAAGCCGTGGGACAACGTGGTCCGAAATTGTTCGGTGCTGCTGCTCACCTCGTCGCGCATCCGAAGAGACCGCTTCTGCCTGTTCCATCGTTCGAGCTGGGGTCGTTCGTCTACTCGAGTGTCATGGAGTGTGAGTTTCCCCGTGGTTCATCGGCCCAGCCTGAGTTGATGCAGGTCGCCAATGAGTTTTTACGCGCACGCAGTCACAACAGTACCAGCAAGAGTTTTGAGACAGCTGGAAGCGAGGTGGGGAAGTGCGGGACCTGGGTGGCGACTCAGCGGCGCAGGATTGCAGCATCAGGGGAACTGGTCGAGCGAGATCGTCTGGTCGCATTGCAGGTCGTACCTCAGGGAGGGACAAACGCGATGGTGGGGGGGGGGGCACGGGCGGTCTGCCCCCTTGCGCGTCGCCTCTCCCTCCCCCCCCCCCGCGTCAGGGATGATGAGTGGCGTAGGGCAGGGGAGAATGGCGCACGGGAGGGGAGTGGCAGGGGCGCGTGCATTCGTCTGCCCGCGTGCGCCCCGAGGTCCTCCTTGGCCAGGCAAGTTCGGATGATCTAGAGCTGGTGGCGGTCGTGGAGAGCGCGAGGTATGACGAAGAAACGAGCTTGACGACGGTTAGGCAGGACAGCGGCATCCCAGAGTTCCAGGATCATGTAAGCAAGGCCCTCGACCACATAGGAAAATTGCCTGGTTTCGAGGAGCGGGTCCCAATAACACTTTTTCAGACTCAGCATTCGCACGGTTTCCCCGTCGCCGCTCGCCAACCGGGTTCAGAATCCAAACAGCATGTCATCATTCGGACTAACGCAGTCGGGCTGCCCACCGTGCTTCAGCGAACCGCGGCTCCCAACATAGCGCAGGCGTTGAAGCAGTCGAGCTATCTGAGGTGGCGGTCGGTCGCTGCTGCTGGATGTCGCGTTCGGTTGATATGCAGTGAGCGGTACGCGGCCCAGTTCTTGGAGGAAGAATGTCTTCAGGCTGACCGGGTGGGATGATGTCGCTTGCACCTCGGCTGTGAAATACACAAGTCCACAGCTTGCCAGGCGAAGGGCTTGCTGGTGGCTGACTGGTGCGTGTCGGCCTGCACTCGGGTAGCGTTGAGCGTGCGCCTCGGTGGGTGGATGCGAGTGTTCAGGCAGTGATTGCTCCAAGACGTTTGCGACATCGTTCAGGTCAAGGAGGGGGTTTGCCCACCTCCTGCGTCAAAGCATCGACAGATGTGTGTGTGTGTGTGCGTATACCCCCTGGAAACAACACCAGGCGTCAGAGAAAGTTCCAGTACATCATGCAGTGTCTGCCCAATGAAAATTTGGACTCGCACGGATTGCGTTGAGGTGTACATTCAGCCAGGCGTAGACTACATTGAGAGGGACGTTGCAGGCCTCGTCGCAAAAGGTCTGATGCTGTGCCTCGCTGGGGACATGCTTCACATCTTCAACGGGAAACGCTGGACAAAGAAAGACGAATCCGTACACCAGCTAGGTCTCATTCAGTGTTGGCACGGGCTTCTCGCTCGAGTATACAAGCGGTGGCTGAAGCACGTCGGAAACGCAGGCGGCACGAACTACGGGATCGGAGGCCACCCGAGCCGACGCGGCGTGCGTGGGATTCCCCCGGTCGCCGACGACGCCGACCCCGTCGCTGGTCTTGCTGCGCCCCCGGAACCCGACGGCGACGGGGGCGGCGGTGCCCCCCGGGGAGGCGACGGCGCGGCAGCGCCAGCCAGGGCGCCGAAGGGCCCTGGCTCCTCCGCCCAGCAGAGCGCCAAGAACCGGAGGCTTGCTGTTAGTTGGTTGAATGGCGAGCCCACCAGTGACCTTCTTGTTCTAAGGTTGGCAGTGTAGCCATATATGAAGATGTTGCGACAGCAGCTGCGCATATGTGGTGCGTCTTGGGAGAGGCCGCAAGCACTGCAGAGGCACCCTTCTGAAGTTGAGCATCGAGAGGTTGCAGCGGAGCCTCGAGGACATCGAGCGTGTCGCAACGGAGGTCGCGACCACACACTCACGGAGTATATGACCGAGTTCAAGGACGCCTACAAGACGCACCGCGAGGAGATCGCGAAAGAGTGCCGACTCACTGTGGCTGCCCACCAAATCATGAACTCGATCGCCACTGTAACCGACAAAGTCGTCCCCCGCACGACGATCAGGAACACAGCCCAGAACTACATTCCCAACCGCAAGCTGGAGATCCTAGATGTCCCTGGCAGGATGGCCAGGGCCGTTTCGCAGGGCCTCAAGCAGCAGACCATCAAGTGCTAGGCTGCACCTGAGGCCAGCGGCAGCGTCACCGCCTGTCTGAGGACTGGTGGCTGGGAGGGGGGAAGAGAGGAGGATGAGGAGGAGGGTAGGAAAGGGTGTGACTTAGGACGTAGGGGTGGGAGGAAAAGAACGAGTAGGATGGCGTGAGAAGTAACGTGAGGAGTAAAGGAATAGGAGTAGGAGAACGGCCAGGACAATGAGAGGATCACAAAGATGAGGAGGACTAGGAACCGCAGCGTGTTTCTGTTGTTCGTGCTGCAAGTGGGGGCGGTTGGCTCTTCCCGACAGCTCCTCCTCCTCTTCGTCGTCCTCCCGCCCTCCTCCCCACCACCACCCCTCGTCCCACGCCAGCGTTCGCGCAGTCGTTATCATCGCCCGCCCCATCGCCCTCCTCCCACCAACCTCCGTATCCTCACCGTCGCCAGTCCCCACCCCCTCTGGCCCCCCCTCCTCTGGGCCTCTGGGCTGCAGCGCTGAGGCGCGTCTCGTTCGTGCTCGCCGACGGCGCGCTTCGTCCGCGCAAGAACCCCAGCGCGAAAACTGATGACGGCAGCGTGCATCTCGGCGGGGATTCCTGGTCTGTGGTAGTATGTGCATGTATTTTCGTGCATGCGTGTCGGTGTACGCGTGCTCGTGCAATGTGATCGCATGTGTTCGCCCATGCGCGTAGAGGAGGAGAAGGAGGAGGTGGAGGGAGGAGGGAGGAGGAGGGAGGAGGAGGGAGGCGATGCATGGAAGGAGGAGCTCGAGGAGGTCCGCCGCCATGTTGGTTCGAGCCAGTCCGCGGCTGAGCTCAAACTCCAATCGCGTCAATTTCGGCGCGCCCTTCGTGCGCTTCGACCTAGCCCCGCGTGGGCGTCCGTCGTAAGCCCTGGCGACGGCCTCAGCCCCCGCATGCATGCTGTGTCTCGCGTCAAGCGTGTCGCTGCCCCCGCGGACATCAGCCGAATTCCCCAATTGGCTGCGATACTGCGACCGGCGGTCGATTTCGTTGCGCTCCCTTCTGATTTGCTTCGGGTTGGGCTGATTAAACTGCCCTCTCCAGGTGCCCCGCGTTGTTGCAGTCGACGCGGGCACTGTCGTGCACCGTCGTCGCGCGAGAAGTTGCCCCCCCCCCCCGCGTCTGCGGGACGACGCGTGGAATTGCAGAATACATCGCGGACGACCCAGTGTTGCGCAGAGGTTGCCGCAACGTACATTGTGAAAAACCGCGGGGTACCCCGCAGACCACTTGCAGAGTACTGTATTCAGAATGGCATGTTGGATGCTGTAGAAGGACCGTAGGTCATAACGCTACGCTTTTCTCAAAATGCTGCTCCCGCTGATGCGCTGGCCTCATTGCATTTGTCGGGCTTCCGCTCGTTCCGAATAGTGCTCCCGCTGCAACGCTAGCCTCAGTTCTGCGCTTCCGCTCATTCCGAATCGTGCTCCCGCTGAAGCGCTGGCCACATTTCTGCGCGCCCGCTCGTTCTGAACCGTGCTCCCGCTGCAGCACTGGCGTCATCAATTCCAGTTCCATGCCACGGCATGCAATGCAATGCTATGTGGTGCTCCGCTGTGCGATGCCATGCCTTCAGCCGCAATGCTAGGACATGCAGTGGTTGACTACGCAGTCCCACGCCATGCTATGCCATGCTACACTTTGATTTCCAACGCCATGCTATGTCATGTTCTGTTGTGTGCCGCTGTGCGACGCCATTCGTTGCGTTGCAATGCTTTGTGGTGCAACTCTGCACTACGCAACGCCACGCCATGCTATGACATACTACGCTCTGCCGTGCTCTTCTACGCACTGCTATGCCGTGCTCTACGATGCATCGCGCACCATCTCGGGATCATTACCCTGCTCGACATCCGACTGTGCGAATAAAGAGGAGATCTACGCCATGGTAAGGGATGGGAGGGAGGGGTAGGATGTCAGATATGACCCGAGCGCACCTAGCTTGCCTCCCTCCCCTCACCTCCCCTCCCCTCCGTCCCTCCCTCCCTCCCTCCCTCCCTCTCTTCCTCCACCTCCCCTTCCCGCCTTCATTATCATTCTCGTTACCTCTCCCTCTCTCTCTCTCTCTTTTTCTCTCTCTCTCTCTCTCTCTCTCTCTCCCCCTTCTCATCTTCCTGCTCGAGATGCTAATGTTGCCACCTGTATTTGGTAACGTCGCTATCCGAACAGATGCTACGTGCTGGTTTGGACGTTGGTTGTGTGGCCAGTCACAGGAAAGGCGAAGGCACCTGCGCTCGCTCCCGTCCAAAATGTTGGACAACTCCGCGGCGTTCAACCCGCTGTACGCGAATCTCTAGGGAGCGCGCACGTACAAATGCAACTTGAGGCACCCGCGAACCCGGTGAAACGCGGAAGTCAACTTGTATGGTGGCATGTATTCCGTACGCGAACTGCGACACGCAATGGCTCGTGGTATGGTACACTGCGTTGCATCTCCAGTTCCTAAGATGTCCCATGCTGCGTTACGATATGCTGTCATGTGGGAGGCTGCCCAATGCTACTGTGGTACACGCTTCTCCCGCTCCACACTCTCATCCTCCACATCCGCCTCCTCCCGCGTCCTCGGTCCTCCCCATCCTCTTCCTCCCCAAATGCGATGTTCCCCTCCCACTGACTATTTTCCTCCCTCCTCCTCCTCCTCCTCCTCCTCCTCCTCCTCCTACTCCTCCTCTTCCTCCTCCTCCTCCTTCCTCCTGCCTCCTGCCTCCTGCTCCTCTCCTGCTCCCTCCTCACTCCTCCATCCTGCAGGCAGAGCAGGGGGCCTGTGGACGACCCAAGGATAGGAGGAGGAGGAGGATAGGAGGAGGAGGACCCAAATCTCCGATGCCGTGGTGTTTTCGCGACGTGGCCCCCAAAGGTCTCGATCACTTCTCTGGGACCGGCTCTCGATCCCTGGCCGTGTTTTGACGGCCGCGGAGCCTGGCGATGCCCCCAAGAGGCCGAAAACAGCCAAACCTCCGGTCGTGCTCTTGTCGCGATGAGGGGAAGTAGATCTGATGAGGGGAGAAGTCGTCGTCGTCGTCGTCGTCGTCGTCGTCGTCGTCGTCGTCGTCGTCGGCCAGTGGCTTCAAGCCAAGTGTGCCTGTCTCCGCAGGCTCGCCCACCCGCGAAGCCCTCCAGGTGACCAAAGAGTGCCGCGGCACAGATGCTCGGCCCCCTTTGAGGCTGGGCGTCGAAGCACTGCACCTGGAGCATTCGGAGGGGCAGACGGGAGAGGAATGAGGGAGGATAGAGAAGGAGGAGGAGGAGGAGGAGGAGGCGGAGGAGGAGGAGGAGGAGGATGGAGGAGGAGGAGGAGGCGGAGGAGGAGGAGGAGGATGGAGGAGGAGGAGAGGAGGAGGAGAGGAGGAGGAGGAGGAGGAGGGAGGAGGAGGAGGAGGAGGAGGAGGAGGAGGGAGGAGAAGGAGGAGGGAGGAGGAGGAGGGAGGAGGAGGAGGAGGAGGAGGCAGGGAGGAGGGAGGAGGGCGACGACGACAACGCCAGCGCGTGTCTGGCAGGACATGGCCCCCTGGAGGCAGCTGGTGTGCCTTGTGCCCGTACTTGTCCTCGGCAATGGTGTCCAAGTCTGCGGCCCACTCCGCGAACATGGTCTTGGTCAGGAGGACTGTATCGTCCACAGTGGTTGCCAGTCTGACCTTACGAAGAAGCTGCCGCCGTCTCTCTCTCACTCCACTCTTCTTGCCCTCAACCCACCACTGCCCGAAGAGCCACGTCATCCGTTACTTTGCAGCTCTGGGGAACCAAGAGGTACCAGTACTGATACTCCCTGGACCTATCAAGGGGGGGCGCATTCTGACCAGAAATTCGACGCGAATCCAGCGAAGGCGACGAAGGCCCCCCAGAAGGCCCCCAAAAAAGGGACAACGGGAGAAATGTAATGGTACAGGTACCTTTCCTTTGGCAGGGACCGTCCGTCCCGGCATCCGATATGCCTACCACGACATGTTCTTGGAACCAAAGAGTTTTCGAAAAACGAAACAGATCGACTTAGAACATAAACCAAATGCATTAAACAACGAAGAGGTCTCAGCCAGAAATACCCTAAGAACACTCCGTGCAAAGTATGACAAGTTCTTAGACCAGTCTTTCGTGGGCCTGTAGGCAAGCCAGGACACCTCACCACTGCTTGATTGCGTCCTCGGGACCTCAGCCTCGTCTCCTCCTACTCCACCATCACCGCAACCCATCATGGGCCCACCTCGGCGTGCTCCTCGCCTAAAGAGACCCCACCCTCGAGAGAGACCCCACCCTCCAGAGAGACCCCACCTCCTCTCCCTGTCCAAAAGCGCAGGGCTGGTGCTTCTGCTTTTTGCGTAAGAAGCACGCATGTGCACACACACACACACACACACACACACACACACACACGCACGCGCACACGCACGCGCTCACGCACACGCACACGCACACGAATACGCACGCACACGCGCACGCACACGCACACGCACACGCACACGCACACGCACGCGCATACACACACGCACGCGCACACGCACGCACGCGCACACGCACGCGCACGCGCACACGCACACGCACACGCACACGCACACGCACACGCACACGCACACGCCCACGCACACGCACACGCACACGCGCACGCACACGCACACGCACACGCACACGCACACGCACACGCACACGCACACGCACACGCACGCACGCGCACACGCACGCGCACACGCACACGCACACGCACGCGCACACGCACACGCACACGCACACGCACACGCACACGAACGCACACGAACGCGCACACGCACACGCACACGCACACGCACACGCACACACACACACACAGAAGCGCTGGGGGTGAGTGGCACGGGCGCGGCGCGCGGGAGGCGTGCGCGGAGCCGCAGGCGGAGAGAGGTGCCAGAGCGGCGTGCGGCCGGCTGCGCGAGCGGGTCAAGCGGGAGAGATGAGGAGGAGGAGGAGGAGGAGGAGGAGGAGGAGGTGGCAGTCGTGAGGGCAAGGTTTAGGTCGGGCATGTCCTCCTACAGGTTGGTTTTGGAAGAACTAGACGAGAATCGCACAAGACTACCCCAAACATAGCCAACGAAGCACAGAGCATCGTCCCCAGACTGTTTGCTGGGCTGCTTTCGAACACTCCTCCTGCAGAGGGACACGCCCGACTTCGGGCACGGTGGGAAGTGACGGGCGCGGCCAGCGGCGCCGGGAACGACGAGGGCGGGGGCCGCCTCCTCCCCCTCCTCCCCCTCCTCCCCCTCCTCCCCCTCCTCCCCCTCCTCCCCCTCCGCCCCCTCCTCCCCCAAGCGAGGGGGGAGGTGGTCAGCTCCTCCTGGCGGCCGCGTTGTGTCTGCTGGTGGCGAGGTGGCGGCAGGCTGGCGTGCTGCTGCCTGCTCCCACTCCCCACGCCCGCCCACTGCCCCGCCAGTCTTGGGCGCGAGTTACTCCTTTCGTCGACGGCGAGGCAGAGTGGGCTGCTCCAGCGGATCAGCTAGGCGGGGGGCGCCGAAAAGCGAATTGGCCAGCGTGTTAGGCGCGAATTACAATCAACCCGTATTATAAGGAGTTGCGCGGCAAGGATGCAGGGGCCTTGGCGGCCCATGATAGCGGTCTGCGAGCGAGGCTGGCCAGCGAAGGTCGCTAAGAATGGGCCGAAGGGGCAAGGATGCAGGGGTACCCGTGGGCAGGTTGCCCATCCTTACTGTGCGGGCTGACTGTAATGGGGGGCGATACATGTGGAGGGAAGCGAGGTGCCCTTTTGCGGGCCCTCTAAAGGCCCCCCCTGGGGGCCCTGAAGGGCCGCCTGAGGGGCCCGAAAGGGCCCCCTTTGATGCAGCCATCTCTGCCCCCCATTGATCGCCCCCCATTACGCGACCTCCAACCGTCTGGGGCTGGGGGTTCGCCGGGAAGAGGGGGGGGAAGGGGCTGGCGCTAGGTCGGGCATGTCCTCTTACAGGGGGGTTAAACGAAAACTAAGCTACACTGAGATGCTCCAAAATAGTTGCAACATGATAGGAAAATCCTCCCCACACTATCTTTCTACTACTTTGGGATATTCCTCCTGTATGGGGGACAGGCCCGACTTCAGGCTGGCGCTTCACACACGATGCCTCCTCACCCCCTGGGCCTCGCCACCACTCCGACGCGGCTCCGCTCCAGAACGGCACAGCGAGGCGGCTGCGGAGGGGGAGCCCCTCCGCAGCACACACACCCCCTCCCCCGTCCCGTGCTCGGCGACCCCTCCCTCTGCCGCCGGTGCGCGCCGGCCGGCCGCGGTGGTGTGCCAGTGGCTGGCGGCCCGCTCGGACGTGGAAGCGTGGGATCGGCATGCACTCCCAGGCGCAGTCGTCGTGGGCGAGGCGAGGGCGGCGGCTGGGTCGAGCACTGGCTCTTGGGAGCGCGGTGCGCGAATTGTGGAACGGTGCCACTCGCTGCTGTCGCCGCCTGCATGGTGAAGCCGCCAGCCATGTGGAGATGACGCAAGGCTGCCACCAGGGCGCGTGCCGGAGCTCAGCGGCTACCACGGTCGGGGCATCATCGCGCTGCGATGATTGAGCGATTGGGAGTCGATGCATCACCCCCTGAGTCTATCACCCCCTGGCGATTCCCCATGATATCATCCTGGCATTCGTGCCGTTGGGGGCTGAGGCCAGTGTCTCAGGATGGCAACTTTAGATCGGGCGTGTCCTCCTGCAGGCGGACTTTGGACGAAAAATGAAAAATTGTCAGGCAATAATCAAACAAATGCTGAGAACTACCCAAGATCGTCCCCATACTATTTCTTGAACTATGTTTTGATTTTCCTCCTGTAGAGGGGCACGCCCGACTTACCGGTGAGTCGTGCAGGCGGGCCTCGCCGCAGTCGGAGAGTGTGGGGGTCCCCCTCCCGGCTGCCGCACTCGCAGTCGGCTACCTACGCGTGGTCGCAGACTCCCCGTGCTGGAGAGATGAGTTTACGGGAACGGAAAATGACATAAGCATACAAACTCGGAGGTCCGCGCGGATTTCTTGGATCCGCGCGGACCTCCGAGTTTGTATGTTTTATGTCATTTTCCGTTCCCCTGGAGCTCTGTTTCCCAAGCACGGGGCAAACTCCTCGCGCAAAGTCACCCCCGCATGCGCTTGTCGCGCCGAGAAGGCGCTGTGGCCATCGCCCTGCTGCCTGTCAGTCTGGGCACCCGCATGGCCTGGTTGAGCGACCGCAGACAATGCAGCTCGACTGAAAGAAGTCCGGCGCCGGCTGGAGCTAGTACCTCGTAGCGCTCTTCGACATCGATGAGCTAGAGGAATTCCGGCGCGGGGTGGAGCTAGTAACTCGTAGAGCTTCCCGTAGCAAGTTGTTTCTGGAAGCTCAAGAGTAATTCCGGGGCGCTGGAGAGCTAGTTGACAAGAAAAATACCTCGTAGAGCTCGTCGGCATCGATGAGCTAGAGGAATTCCGGCGCGGGGAACGGCACCTCAAGGGGTCGGAAGGTGAACGCACCAGGTGCCCCTATGAGCCGACGAGCGCGAAGAGCGCCACGATCCTTCGTAAACAAATGCAAGGGAGAAGGAGGAGGAGGAGGAGGAGAAGGAGGAGGAGGAGGGAGGAGGGAGGAGGAGGAGGAGGAGCAGGAGTAAGGGAGGAGGGAGGAGGAGGAGGAGGAGGAGGAGGAGGAGGAGGAGGCCACGGGAGCCGCAACTGGCGCACCCTTGCCATCGACCCTGGAGCGCCGAGCTGCCGCCGACGCGCCACGGAGCCCTGGCGAGGCCGGCCCCCCCCGCTGCCCGCGGCACCATTTTCTGCGCTGGGGACTGGACCGATGGGCATTTGGGGCCGATACTCCTCCAGGGAGACGGCAGGAGCGAACAGCGTGACCGCAACGATCGCACCCGTGAAACATGCACCCTCCCGGCTGCGCAGCACGGTTGCCGTGCAGAGGCGGCCGAAGCTCGGACCGCAAAGCGCACAAAGAGAGGGAGAGGAGAGGGAGAGGAGGAGAGGGGGAGAGAAGGAGAGGAGTAGTGAAGAAGGACTTCTGAGTGGGAGGGGGAGGAGGAAGCGGGGAGGGCAGCGTCCTTGCCAACATTGGCAGACCGAAAACAAAGCCAAGGGGGGCCGGGCACTGCAAGAAGAAGGCGTGGCCTAGCCCCGGACGCGGGCACACGAGCCGGGGTTCGTTAACCCGAGATCGGCAGGCCGATGTGTGCATTTCCCCGTGCCTGAGCCGCCATGTCGCAGCCAGCAGCGCTGCCTGAGGATCATGGACACGGGGTCTCTGTGGTCCACGAGCGGTGGCGCTGGTGCGGAACTGCTGATCCGCCTTGTCTGAATCGTGGCTCTGAGGAGGAGGAGAAGGAGGAAGAGGAGAGGAAGAGGAGGAGGAGGAGGAGGAGGAGGAGGAGGGGAAGGAGGGGGGAGGGGAAGGAGGGGGAGGGAGGAGGAGGAGGAGGAGGAGGAGGAGGAGGAGGAGGAGGAGGAGGAGGAGGGAGGCGGAGGAGGAGGAGAGGAGGAGGAGGCGGAGAGGAGGAGGAGATGGAACGACTGCGAGCCGCGCAAGTCTGCGCAGTCCTTCACGCGCCGCCAGGCGTGGGAGACGCGTCCCGATGTGATGCCGTGGCCAGGGTACATTTCCTCCTCTCCTCCTCCTCCTCTCCTCCTCCTCCTCCTCCTCCTCCCCCTCCTCCTCCTT